TGAGAAAATGGAGATGTTGGCAGTGTGAGGGGTCTGGTGAGGGCTTGTCCTTGGCGGAGTGGATCAGGGGAGACGACAAAGGGAGACTGTGACGCCTGGTACCAGGTGCCTTGCACAGCCTGGGACCAGGATTTGAACAGCTGCTCCAACAACTGGTTTCTGACTGTATCCCCCTGAGTGGGGGTAGGGACGGTGGGACGATTACCTGAGGGTCTGTCTGGGCTGGGACAGCTGGGGAGAAGACAGCTGAAAGGGCAGCCCCCTGCTCAGAATAGCCATGCTGGGTCCCCTTCCACTTGGGATTTCTGATCAGACAGAGGACAGAAGACAAGCTCTTAGCTGGTCTACAAGGATTCACTGCACCTCCCTCAGAGCCCCTGGCAAGAAAGTACCAGAGATAGGGAGCAGAAAGGGGTGTGGGGTGCTGAGCTCCCCCCACCCGGGGTACGTTGTAGGGGGTAAGAGGAAGACGGGGCTTGCTGGGCTCAGCTTTGGCCTGGCGACTCTTGCCTGGCCACCCCTGCCTGATGACCCCTGCCTGGCGACCCCTGCCTGGCAGGAACCTCTTGCTCAAGAGTGTCAACCTGTTCAAGCATCAGCTCTGATGGCCTCGTAGTAAGAAGCTACACTGCAATCTCAAAGGCATGTGGTTCGAATCCTACCCGCTGCTCTGAGCGAAAGGATGGGCAGTCTACTCCCATAGGATTTACTGCCTCTGAAAACCCGCTGGAGGGTCAGCTATGAGTGGGTTTGAACTCAATGGCTTGTATAACAACAAACTGCCAGATCAGAGTCGGGGCTCTCCTGGCCCAGGGATTGCGTTCTCAGCTGTAGGAGACCCGGGTTCCATCCTGGCCAGTTCACCTTGTGCACAGTCACCCCCTTTCTGTCAGAAGAAGCTTACAAGTTGCTTTGAGGCTGCTGAACAGGTTCAGTGGGGCTTAGACCAAGACAGACTAGGAGCAAAGGCCTCGTGATCTGCTTCTAAAAGTCAGCCCAAACCCCCCCACAAGCCGTAACACTCAGGTGCACGGCAGCCCCACGTGTGTGGATGAGAGAACTGGGCTCCGCTGGGTTTCCAGGCATGTGACCTTTCAGAAGCAGACTGTCAGGCCTGTCTGCCGAGGTGGGGTTTGAACTGCCAACCTTTGGCATAGTAGTTGAGCACTCAGCTGTTTATGCCACTGAAGGCTCCGGCGTTTTGTGGTTTTTGCTTGCTCCTTCTAAACAGAAATTTGTTTCATCAAAGCAGCAATACAAACTGTTGTTTCTTCTTTATTTGCTCTGGATGAGGGGCTGTTCTAAGCAGTGTTAACTCAGATCTGCCCCGCGTGGTGCAGGTAGTTAAAAGAGCTTGGCTGCTAACTGGAAGATGGGGGGCTCAAGCCCCGAAAAATGTCTCGGAGGAAAAGACTGCAGGTCTGGTCTTGGGGGGGGAAGAATCAGCCATTGGAAACCCTGGGGAGTACGATTCAACTGTGGCACGTGGGGTCACCAGGAGGCAGAGTTGGCTCAACACTTGGTAACTATGACAGAGATACAGGTGACAGAGCTTTCCCAAGGTCACACAGGAAACGGAGGAGCTGGGGTTCACAGACTGGTCTGTAGGACGCCAGATCCTGACCCACCACCCCACGGTTGTGGCCTTTGCCATGTGGAATATTGTTGGCAAAAGAGAGGAACCGTAGGGCCACCCCACACCCAACTTCCACCCTCTAAATAACAAATAGAAGATGTGTCTGTAAAGGAAGGAGTAAAAGATGGGATTATAAAAGCATGAGCATGCAACCAGAAGACTATCAGTTAAGCTGTAGAAAAGGTGAAAAGATAAGGGGTAGGGAAGCTAGAGTACAGGTAACGGAACAACCAGATGTAATGAAAAGAGAATGATGACACATTATGGAAGACATAACTAATTTCATTGAACAATTTGCACAGAAACTGTCAAATGAGATCCTAGTTTGCTGTGTAAACGTTTCCTGAAAGCTCGTACTATTTAAAAGGAATGCAAGGTTGTTCCCTGTTCGTAGGAAACCGTAAGAGTTGATTGTTGTTGTGTACTGTCGAGTCAGAACTGACCTATAGCTGACCCTCCAGTGGGTTTTCAGGGCTGTGAATCGCACAGAGGAAATGGCCCATTCTTCTCCCGTGCAGTGCAGTTTCTCCCCACTAGATCCTGGGTGCATCTAGCTGAGTCTAATATTGGGGTGATTGTGGAGTCGGACTTGGTCTGGCAGATGCTTTGATAAACACCCTCGGTGTACGTGTTCGTCGGATGAAGGGAAGTATTCCGGGCCCAGAGCCTGAGACCTTCTAGCAGAGGTTGGTTCCAGGTCAGCCACCTGCTGTGACCGAGCATCAGTTTCCTCATCTGTAGAATGGGAAGAGCTGGGTTAACTGGGAAGGCCAGTTGCGCTGTTGTACATCAGGCTGGTAGCAGAGTCAGTGCCTCTCCCTGTGCCCAGGCTGAGGTGACCATGTACTTTGCTGCTGCCGCGGCTGTCCACATCCGCAGGGGGAGAAGCAGTGTCCTCTGGACCCCACCTAGGAGCTGTGTGGCTTCCTTTTTAAATTGTTGTTGAAAGTATACAGCTAAACATTCTTCTTCTTTTTTTTCTATAATTATATTTTATTAATTTT